ACCTCCAGTTTTTGGGCCTTGAGCTAGCAGCTTATCTGCTGTCTTGCCTGTCAATCTTTGGATCTGTCAGTCTTTGAAGGCTGTGAGCAAGAGCCCTGCTCTCTGACCTGCCAATCTTGGGTTCATCAGCCCCTGTGGCTACCTGAATCAGGAGAAGCCTCAGCTTGACCCACGGACTTGGGACATTCCAGTCTCTACGACCAAGTGAGCCATTTCCTTGATATAAATCTCTCTATTTTTTTTTTTATATATTTATTAGTTTTGCATCTCTGGAGAATCCAGCATAAGACAGCCCCTTAGAAGAGAGGATGGCAAGACTTTGTCTTGCTTACGTTGGACATGTAATGAGGAAAGATCAATCACTAGCAAAGGATATCATGTCTGGTAAAGTAGAGGGTCAGCAAAAGCAAGGGAAACCCTCAATGAGATGGATCGACGTAATGACAAAACAATGGGCTCAAACATGCCAACGACCATGAAGATGGTGCAGGACTGGAGTTGAAGCTGATTTAAGGGCAACTAACAACAACAACAACAACTGAACCAACAACTCTAAAATCTGAGTCTTAGAATTTCAGCATTTGATTCATTAAAAAGCGAAACCACTCACAAGTACTATAGAAAAGAAAGTAAAAGAAGAAAGAAAAAAAAGGAGTTATATTTGTCTCAATGCCTAGAGCTCCCAGACTATCTCATTTGTCTTGTATTGTAGTTCTCTGGAATTTGGGTTCTTCTAATAACCAACCTGAACTCTTTTACTTAATTGATGCCATTATGGGAATGGTTGTTTTCCTACTTATTTTGAGTTACTTGAGTAGAATTCCCAAGACAGTCTATCTTCCCATTCTAGTTATACTCAGGAAAACATACGGGGGAAGGGGAAGGAGGGAGAGAGAAAGAGATTAAGAAAAATTCAACAGGGAGTCAGGTTTATATACTGCTTACTCATGGAAGAAACAAGGCAGAAGAGCAAAGTAAGTTTGTCTTCGTAGTTCTATATGGTTGATCCCATCAGGGTAGGGAAAGATAGTCTTCACCCTGTTTATTTCAACTCTTGAACCCAAAAGCAGCAAGGATAGTGAATTAACTAATCTGTGGGAATGGGAGATATTCAGAGAGAATATCTGAATACCACCTACATAATAATAGACAGTCCCAGCAGGCATGGACATATGGTGAGTAGTTATTGGAAGGTTTCGAGCAAGGATGGGTTAGAAAAGCATGGTGTTGGGCAAGTTAGTACAAAGTATAAAGGTTTCAATTACTCAATTTCCCAGGAAATGGTAGGATGCAAACAGGGCTAAACCTCAAGTGATTGCTTTAAAATCGCACATAAGCATTGTGAATTGATTTCTGAAATCTTTCAGAATCAATGCTTCAAGACACAGACCTGAAATTTTGAGTTAGCTGTCAGGCATTTCATGTCATTCACATTTGCACTAGACTTATCATTACTGAGTTTTGGATGAAGATAGAGTAGTGTTCAACGAACAAAACTGAATTTTTGTGTTTTTTTTTTTTTGTTGTTGTTGTTGGGGGAGCTGGTATAGCTCCTTGCTTCAGATCTTACCTGTCCTTTCTTTGGCTTGACCACATCCCTTTAGGAGATTAGGGAATCAGGTCTGAGTCTACTCTGAAGGCACCTTCTTGAACCAGTAGCCTGATTTAACTTGTAGAAACTTTTCCTGAATGCCATGGTTAGAAGATGTGATGACTGATGTTAGAGGCATAAAGTCTTACAGGAAAAATGAGGTATGTACCTGAAAAAGTTAAGAACACTCAAAAATATCTGAAAAAGAGAGTGAATATTTAAAGAGAGAAAGTGTAAAATAAACCTATTAGAAATAGGTGATATTAGTTTTTAGTTTTTCAAAACTAGAGAAGACACATGTAAAACTTGGTAAGGAGAAAGGAGACAAAGATAAGAAGGGAGGCAAGAGGAGGATATTTCAGGTAGAAGAGATTCTCTTTAGAAATGCTCAGAAATCAGAAAATGGAAGAGATGGGTTTATAATAATAACAGGTTTGCTATACTGGATTGGTAATTAATAAGCCACCATAGCAACCGGAGATAAGGCTTTATTTTCTGCAAAAAGTAACACAACATTAATTTCAGTAGAATATTAAAGTATGTTGTATGTAGAAAAAGTTAGGAGTTAAATGAGGCTGAATCATGTAATCAAGGAACAAATATATCCATTAAAAAAAAAGTTGTCATCGAGCCGATTCCAACTCGTAGCGACCCTATAGGACAGAGTATAACTGCCCCATAGGGTTTCCAAAGAGTGGCTGGTGGATTCAAACTGCTGACCTTTCGGTTAGCTGCCAGGCTCTTAACCAGGTAATCTAAATAAGAAACTATTAATAAAATGTTCTTTCCTAAGGCATACACAAAGCAAGATAACCATCAATGACAGACAATATGGGAAGTTTATTATACCGTGTTTCAGTGATTAGAAAAGAGTTATCCCAGAGGATTTGAGATCTGTTTTCTTTTTAAAGAGGGTCAATTTGGAGGAAGAAAATAGTGAGAATGTAAAACGTGTACACAGGTATGGAAGGGGAGTCACTTGAAGAAACTGAGGCTCTATAAAGTAAGCTTGAGAGAATGGAGGCTTGAACAGAGAAAAGTAAGATTGATATTTTTTGGAAATCTGTTACAACAATGGGAGCATTAGGACAAGGCATAAAATTGAGATGAAGATAGTGGAAATAAAACTGTGTTAGTGATATAGCAAAGGAGCTCTGTGGTGCAACGGCTAAGCACTCAGCTGCTAACCAAAAAGGTTGGCAGTTTGAATCCACCCAGTGCCTCTGCAGCAGAAAGACCTGGTGATCTGCTTCTGTAAGAATTACAGCCTAAGAAGCCCTACGGGACATGTATAGTCTGTCACATGGGATCGCTATGAGTTGAAAATGGATTCAACAGCACTTAACAACAACAGCGTGACACAGCAAAAGGAAAAAATAAGGAAATCGTGATGATTCATTCGGTTTGGGGACTGAGGGAACAATACCCAATAGACGTAAAAATGAATAAAGTTGGTAAGCAGATGAAAATAAAAAAATTCAACCATAAACTGGGTGAGTGCTGAGGGTAAAGGTGGAGGTAGCAAGTTTGATTCAAGGTGAAGCTTCTAAGTGGAAGAGTTCTGCAGAAAATGTGGGACTCAGGAGAGACTCAGGGGATTCTGAAGTCACATAAGTAGATGAGAGTTGAAGGACAATGAAAGCTGAAAAATAATCTTGAGTGAGTGTTTCTTTGTAGAAGGGAATATGAAATGAAAAGAGAAAAAGCAATGACAGAATTCTGAGTTATCACCAAATTTGGGAAGTGAAAGAGGGAAAAGCCAATGAGGGAAGCAGGGATAGTATGGTGTCAAGAATGTAAGGGAAGGAGAAACTTTCAAGGATGGACCAGTTGTTCTTTGGATGTTAGTGGTAATGAAGACAGAGTGAAACCATTGGATTTTCAATCAGAAAGGCATTGGTATATTTTAAGAAAAGCGATAGGGAAAGTCTAGAGTAAGTAATTGGTTGAAAGTGATTCAGGAAGGAATGAGGACAATAAATATACATTACGCAGTAGGAAAAAAGAAAAAAGGTGTTGATAGAAAGGAGAAAAATAATCTAAGTAGAGAGCAGAGTAAAAGGTTTAGTTGTATTTTTCTCCCAGATAAGGAGATTTGTACACATATGATAACAAGATTAATGAAGAGAGAAAAAGAAAAGATTCTGAAAAAGGAATAAATTAATAAGACAATATCCTATAATGTGTGGGTTTTAAGTTGTATTCCAGAAAGCAAGAAAGAAAAGTTCTGTGATCTCCATCACTCCCATTAAATTTTACTAAATCAGCTCCGCCTTTATTATTTACTGTATTCTATTTCCATAAATTGTTTCATTTGTCCAAAGACTTCTAGTACAAAACATGTATGAAAACCACTTACCTAGAGGATACAGAATAAAAGGGTTGGAGGAGGTAGAATGGGCCATCTTTTAAAAGAAGGAAAAGCAACATATACATATTGCTATAGTTTTGTTCCTCTGAGTCATTGTTAACAAGGGATATATATAGAGAGAGATTATATATATATATTGTTGTTGTTGTAGGTGCCGTTGAGTGGGTTCTGACTCATAGCGACCCTACCAGACAGAGTAGAACTACCCCATAGGGTTTCCAAGGAGTGACTGGTGGATTTAAACTGCCAACATTCTGGTTAACAGCCAAGCACTTAACCACTACACCATCAGGGCTCCAGGGCTCCAATATATATATATATATATATATATATATATATATACATACATGGAGGGAGGGAGGGAGAGTTCTTTAGAGGCAGAAAGGTGAGAAAGATGGGTGAAATTCACTAGTGATAGCTTTGTCTTTTCTTTAAAATATTCGATAAAATCATATGCCAAGGATCAGAGGAAGAACTGGGAGAATTTAAGGAAACAATTTTGAAACAATTATGGGTAGATTGTTAGGGAATCAATAAGAGTTGAATATGGAAAAGAACACTACCTTAATCATTTGTTATCCTTTCAACTCTGTCTACTTTTATATTTTTCTAAACACGGTGGTTTAAAATACAGTCCCCTGACAGCAAGATCAGTATCACCTGGGAATTTGTTAGAAATACAAATTCTTGGACCCTTCCCTAGACCTAGTGAATTAGAAACTCTGAAGATGGGGTCTAGAAATTTGTGTTTTAACAAGCCCTCCAGGTGATTCTAATGCATGCTAAAAATTGAGAACGACTAGTCTAAAATATCAGATGTGCTTTTTGACTGGATATTTTCCATACAACAATTTTAGTTGCAAGCATCTATGGAATATGGACTATTTCCTTCCTCCTTTGTCTTCCTCTTCATCCCCAATACACAGATCTATCCAGAGACTGGAATTTGGTAAGTGCATTTACTCTCTGACCAATGGTAGTCACCCTCTAGAAGGCTTAAGTCTACTGGGAGTTGAAATCCTCATTTCCAACCAGGAGATGGAGAGCCCCAATCAGACCACTGCTCAGGAGTTTATCTTCTCAGCTTTCCCTTATTCCTGGGGAGATTCTGTCCTCTGCTTTGTACCTCTGTTCGTCATCTATGCTTTCATTGTTGTTGGAAACCTGGTCATCATCACAGTAGTCCAGCTGAATACTCACTTGTACATGCCCATGTATTTATTTATCAGTGCCCTTTCTTTCTTGGAGATTTGGTATACCACAGCCACCATCCCAAAGATGCTCTCTAGTCTGCTTAGTGAGAGGAAGAGCATTTCCTTAAATGGCTGTCTGCTGCAGATGTATTTCTTCCATTCCGCAAGCATCAGCGAGGTTTGTCTGTTGACAGCTACGGCCTTTGACCTCTACCTGGCCATCTGCAGCCCTCTTCATTACCCCACCATCATGACCCACAAGCTATGTGCCCAACTGACTTTAAGCTGCTGTGTTTGTGGCTTTATTATACCCCTCCCTGAGATTGCCTGGATCTCCACACTGCCATTTTGTGGCTTTGATCACCTTGAGCACATCTTTTGTGACTTCCTCCCAGTGCTACGCCTGGCCTGTACAAACACACAAGCCATCATCATGATTCAAGTAGTAGATGTTGTCCATGCAGTGGAGATTATTATAGCTGTGATGCTCATTTTCATGTCTTGTGTTGGTATTGTGGTTGTGATTCTACGTATTCGTTCAGCTGAAGGTCGTCGTAAGGCATTTTCCACGCGTCTCCCACCTCACTGTCTTTTTGCTGTTTTTTGGCAGTGTGGCTGTGATGTATCTACGCTTCTCTGCCACCTACTCCTTATTCTGGGAGACAGCCATTGCTCTAGGTTTTGCAGTTTTGTCCCCCTTCTTTAACCCTATTATCTATAGCCTGAGGAATAAAGAGATAAAAGAAGCTATAAAGAAGCGCATGGGTCAGGCTAAAACCTTTTTCCATAAGACCAGGAATCTCAAATGAGATCTTACTGTGAGAAGTTTATATAGTTGCTGGCTCTTCTTCATCTTCAACAGCTCTGTTTTTTTTCCTTCAGCCTTTTACTGAAACTGGTCTCCCTATGGTCACCAATAAAATCCACTGATTGCTTGATTCAATAGCCTCTTTTCATCCTTATCCAATTTGACATCCTTTTGGATCTGATTTTGTTAATTAAACATTGTGTCATCCTACTTTATTTAAGGTAAATTCATTTTGTTGAAATAATCTGGGTCAATATTTAATTTTAACATAGTCAAAACCTTTTCTTTTTTTCAGACATAGTAATTAAAAAATTATCTTCTTAAAAATAAGCTATCCCATGGAATCCCAAAAATGGTTCTATTTTCTAAACTGGGTATTCATGTGTTGATCAATAATGAATTTAACAGTTACTAAAATTAACCAGTTTTTAATGATAAATCAGAAAAATTAGTCTTTGTTTTCACTATGATCAAATGCATTGTATATATTAGGTAACAAATAATAAATATCTATTCAATGAATAAACCTCTACCACTATGCTGTATTCTGATTGTTTCGGCTGACTGATATATATTGGACTCAACTCTTCGCTTTTCAAGCTCTCTCCTTCCTTGGCTTTCATGCTTTTGGACTATCTTTTTTCTTCTGCTTTTTGTCAAGGACTCTTTCTTTTGTGGAGTTTTCTTCTTATACTTCTTCATAAAGAATGATTTTCTCCGGGGTTGAGGCCTCTGCTGGGATGGGATAAAGCTTATCACTGTGCTGATGTTGGTAGATTTTTTACTCTTTCATTGCCTGCCAACACAAGTCCTAGAATTGTCAGCCTAATTTCCCCACTCCTGTACCACAGCGCTTCCTGCACAGTAGCTCCTAAAACTTAAAATTAAAAATAAGATGGAAAGATGGAAGTAAGGGGAAAGGTTTTATAAAAAGAGGCTAATAGTATTTAATAAAGAGCTGGAATGGGGAAGCGAATGAAAATGAGAGAAAAAGTCATAGGTTGTGGTTTGAGTAGTTCTGGTAACAGAAAGGCTTCAGAGAATACTTGGTGAAAGAACATGAGGATCCACAATCAAAGTAAAATTGTATATTTTCTGAGACTTGAGGAATCTTTACTATCTACCTTTAGATCTCTCCCTAAATTTAATTTAGGGAGAGTTCTTGGCACAAACCAAGGACAAACAGTGGACTTCTTTTAAGGAATGCCTAAATCCACAATCAACACCCATGGAAGCAGCAGACAAGAGAGCAAATGACTTGTTGCACTGGGCAAATCTGCTTCAAAAGATCTCTTTAAAGTGTTAGAAAACAAAGATGTCACTTTGAGGACTAAGGTGTGCCTGATCCAAGCCATGGTCTTTTCAATTGTCTCATATGCGTGTGAAAACTGGACAATAAATAAGAAAGACTGAAGAAGAATTGATGCCTTTGAATTATGGTGTTGGTGAAGAATATTGAATATCCTATGGACTACTTAGAATATACTTGGACAAAATACAGCCGGAATGCTCTTTAGAAGCCAGGACAGGGAGAATTCATCTCACGTAATTTGTACATGTTATCAGGAGGGACAAGTCCCTGGAGAAGGACATCATGCTTGGTAAAGTAGAGGATGAGTGAAAAAGAGGAAGACCTTTAACAATATGGATTGATACGGTGGCTGCAACAATAGGCTCAAACATAGCAACAATTGTGAGAATGGTGCAGGACCGGGTAGTGTTTTGTTCTGTTGTACGTAGGATTGCTATGAGTTGGAACCAACCCAATGATATCTAACAACAACAAAAACATGAAGGATGAGTGAAAAAGAGATGCAAGAAATGTTTCTGGGTTTAAATATTGTATCTTCTTTAATGCCCGTCAAAAGACATAAGGAATGGAATTACTTTACTGATTGATTATTTTTACTGCACTTTCCTAAGTTCAATATTGTTATAGAATTCATACACATAAATCTGCTGCATATGAAAGGGATACACCATTTTTTTTCTGTTCTCTCCATTTTTTCATTTTATATTATATAATTCTTTCCTAGATATTATTAAACTATCTAAAACTATAACTAAAATTCCTCTCTTTCCCACTCTACCATACTTTAAGCTGCTCCCTCAAGCTGCTCTTCTCAATGAAGACAGAGTTATTTTTTGAAACTTAGATCTGATCATCATACTATCCTGGTTTAAAACTTCCTATGATTAAACCTGCCTTCACTCCAAAACGTGAATATAAAGTAATTGTACTAGCTAACATGTGTGTGTGTCTGTGTGTGCGTGTTGAATGAAAAATATGTCTAGCTGAGGAAAAAAAGAGGAAACAGAGAAAGAAAGTTCATGGTATGTTCACATTCATATGTTACCTTGTAAATGGGATGTTCATGTATACACAGGATTAGGAAGAGGACAGCAGCTGTAAGCTTATCTCTTGTTTACTTTAGATATACAGTCAAGCCTCAATATTCGAGATTCTTTATTATAGAATTTCTATTTGCTAAAAAGAAAACTCCCAGATTACTCTCAAAGCATCAAAATCACCCCAGCTGTGGACCATGCTCTTGGGGAACATCTAGCTC